TAGGCCCAAATTTGTGTGGACTCTTGAATTTGACCTTGCTATTATGCGAACCTGCGGAGATGCGACATTCGAAGTAGTAAACCATCACATTTTACACGTCAAGAATTTGCTGCGGGTGTAGTTCAAGATCTCGTCCATTCATCCGAGACTTTGAGTAGTAGCTTGAGCTAGCTGGAATGCTATTTGGTTGGTGATTTGAGTTTAGAGAATGAATGTCGAGGTTCTTGGGCCTCTCGCATTGGATTGGAGGTGGGAGCGAGTGCTGGTCATGAGGAAGATCAAAAGTTTTGTGCATGTGACGTTGTTTAGGTGTTTGCGGTTCTCTTCACGCAAGAGAAAACCTCGAGAGAAACACAAGGAAGGGAATACGGAGATTGCGAGTTGGATGGAATACTGATCAATCGCTTTGAGAAGAGCAAATGTAGCGCAAGACATAGAGTAGAGCAATGGAGATGGTGCAAGAGTGTGCGAGAGACAGGGGAGGTGACTGAACACAATGACTCACTGAATGACTCAACGAGCGTGCGAGTGCCCGCGCAAGCGTGCGTGATGTTGTTTTGGGAGACGCGATGAGTTAAGCCGAGACGTCACGGCTGATGCGCAAGTGGAGTAATGACGTATGTCTCTTAAATGTCCCCGATTTCTTTCGTTGCCTTTCTGGCTGATGATGGATGTGAGGGTGCAAGAGAGCTTGAGCTTGGACACCTTTTCTTAGCATCACCAGCATTGATTTAGGATAGGAGTGCATCCTAGGCCGTTGATGGTTGGTTTGAAATAAGCAAAAACCATTTTGAGAAGTATGCTCCGTTCGGATCGATTTTATGTTCTCATTCTCCTTAATTTTGCCCTTTAGTGGTCTCCCTTCATCTTTGCAAGTGATCACTTTCATTGCAAGTGACACTTTCATCATTCATGATCACGGTTGATGAGGCGCAAAAGCTAGAGTCGGAGTCATCACAACAGATAATTCAATATGATATTCGATTGGAATAGATTGCAAAATATGAGGATAAAGAGTTTGACTTTCTAGATTCAAATATCAGTTCTGAGCAATCTAATTGGGAACTATTTGGTCAAGATGATGATGCAAATGAGTATGCCACATAGGTTCAATTACAAAAATAGAAAATGCAGTTTTTTAAGCTCTGTATCATATTGTATTATATTTTGTATAGAATACTCTGGTTTAATACATACCCATCATTAGGGCAGATAGTTAGTTTTATGTTCAAATTTTGCAACTTTGTCATCTCATCGTCATCTTTCATAATATTGGTGCTACTTGTGTAATCTTTTTTTTCAGCTTCAATCCAATTGTTCCAAGGCCAGGAAACTACCTACTAAACATCATGTGAAATTGAGACTAATATTTTCATATTCATCCAAATTGGCTAATTCAAAATTAAATGTAATGATATATTTGAAAGTGTAAAGATTTTACTTAAATCTCTTAACTATGATCACACTTAATAAGATGAATGAAAAAGATCAAGTATGAATAAGATCAAACATAAGGTCATGAATAAGATCAAATATCGACAAAATAGTTTTGCTCTAATCCCATCTTGTATTGCAAGAGAGACTTCAAACAGAAATATTTAAAAAAACAAACATTACTACAAATGCTTCAAGAGGGTAATGACATCTAGTGGTAGCGTCCATGATATTATTAATAAAGATATGTTATTGCTCAATAAAGACTACATTTTTTTAACCTTGCTACCAGTCTATTTGAACTGCTTCATGGTTGCAACTAGAGATTTCTTGTTCAACTTGAACCTTTTCAATAAACTCGATTTATGCTCAAGTGTCAACGAAGTAGCCAAGTATGTTGTTTCTTGAGCATCAATGACTCAAAAATCATCATCTAACATACATTCATGCAAAGAATGGAGTATGTAGGAAACAATATTGATATATTTAAGTACAAAATGATGGACTTTGTAAGTGATACCTTGAAAGCTCGAAGTTGTATATCTTAGGTGAAGACCAACATGCTCCCAGTCCACACGGTATTGGGCATGTTCAGCGCAATTATGGATTGTTAAATATGGCAAAAACAAAGCTTCTTGTACAATCAAATTGGCATAGCAAGCAGCAACCGTGACCAAATATTGCGCTTAAAAGATCAACTCTTGATATGCATGTAAATTGAAGGATAGTGTGAGCAAGATTGAACTAAATCTTAGAATTTTCTCCACATTACCACATGCTATTCAAATTTGCCATCTTGACTTTGCAAATTAGATTGAAACACACTAATTTTTTTGGCAACATTAATGCCAAAAAAAGACAAACTGAATAAAATATCCATCAATCCTACTTGTAATACATATTTTTCCAATTTGATACTTATCACCGTTGTTGTCAACAAGTGCAACAATAGTACCATACACTATTTGCTAATGCGCATGTGGACAAGAGTTGTACCTATAGATTCTCTCTGCATGAATTGAATTTCCTTCAAAGCATTGGAATCAATTTACTTGGATCCACCAAAAGTAATGTTGGATCAAAATTAACTAGTTAGAGTAGTTTAGGATGAAATTGGCCAAATTCTTTTATGAATGCTTATGTTAAGTTAGCTTGCATGTGCACTCTTAATGTGAACACAAAGTTGTTAGTAATTGTTTTTGTGATTGGTTTAGTAAGAAAAAGCAAAAGCGCAAGAGTTAGCTATAGTATGAAAGTTACTTTAGTTAGTTTCACTATGGTTATATATCATAGAATCAGCTATAATTTGACTAAGTTAGCTATGGCTAAATAAGAAGTTTGGCAGAACCAATCTCTCACACATAAGTTACTAAACCTTGTGTTCTCGTTTGTTTATGAATGAAACATATATTTTTGTGTGTTGATTGGATGTTTGGGTGATTGGACCTGAATAAAGAATTGCATCTGACCTATCAAATAATTTAGAGCTAAGTTAGAATTTACCAACTACCATTGACAAGTTAAACATTGATGAAAATATAGAGTCCGAGTTAATGCTCAGGGGTAAAATAGATGACGTGAAACTAGAAGCATCAATTTTGAGGTTGTAAATTTGTTTGAAATTGATGTTAACAATATTGCAACCTTTACATGCAAACAATTCTTTTCTTGTAAATGAAGCAAGAGTATGAAGTTAGTTGTTGATCATTTTGTGTTCACAATTTGTTTACAATTTATTCATCTTGCTGATGATATTCGTGCAACTTTTGAATCTTTTGGTTACTTTTGTTACTTGTGTGTGATCAATACTTGCAATTTGAATCAAGGTAATTATTTTACAATTATATATATTTTTCAAGTTTACACTATATGCTTAACGCGCAAGTTTCACTTGAATACTTTATACAAATTTCAATTCTTCATATCAAAAGCACAAGGATTGTTTTCATTTCATAAAAGATAATTGATGATAACCTTGAGTGAAATTTGATTCAATTTTCACAAAATTGTTGGGTTAATTAATTTTTTTCCAATTTTTTAATCTTTTTTGTATAAATTTTATTCATGAAAAATGAATACTTATTGATGAAATATGGAATCGGTATTTCAATTATTTTTTGTAAATTATTTATTTTCAGGAACAGAAAGAAATATATTTTTGAATTCAAATTCTATATATAAATATATTTTCAAATTTGATCTTTTTTTAATTAACTACCAATGTCCATGGAAAATGAAAACTGATGGATTTGTAAATTGAGCAAGGTTGTGATATGATAACTTGATTAAGCATGATCAGGTGTCATTAAAAATTTGTTTCCTGGAGAAATTTATCACTATAAACATGAATTTTTTTTGTAAAATAACCATATTGAGGAGATCGCGATTTATGATATATTTTTCAAGATGTGAAAAAAAACGAGAAATATTTTTTAGTTGTTTGGAACATATTATATTCTACATTTTGCCAAAAGAGTCCATCAAAATGATTTTATAGTTTCATATTTTGAATTTAATTTTTGTTGAATGAGATCCATCATTGTATATGATATTCCTCTCATTTTAAAATAGTATTGAAATATTTTTTTCTGTTTGAGAAATACGACTACATGTTTAAAGATTTTTCACATGTTTGATCAGATCATAATGGGATCAAAATATTTCCGAAGAATATAAAAAAAATCAATCCTTATTTCATTATATTTGTATAAAAAATTTTGTATATAGAATTGGATTGCAGATAGGATAAAAGTTAGATTATTTTTTCATAATGAAGAAAACGTTCTTATAAGCTAAGAGCGTACGCTCTTAGATAATTTAGATAACTTGTGAAAACTATTTATCCCACTTCAGAAATGATTCGATGAGACCAATAGCTTAATAAAAATTTATTCACACTTCAACGGTTTGATATGAAGTAAAAATGACAAATGGAAAGCACATTCACGTACAACGCCATTTACGATTTATCTTTACATGCTATACTTGATTATAGTAAATTGAAATAAGACTCACTCATCTCGGGTTATCACAATGCACATTCTCTTTTACTAATCTCAATCTTATGAATTTGTGTCTTCTTATTATTTAACATAGTAATCAAACTTCGGATTTTTTCGACATAGAAAGAATGGCGTGGGTATTTTAGAATTATAAATATAATCAAGTGATTTGTTTTCATCACATACATGTCTTTATTGCACGAGGAAAATCTTCAACTTCAAAGAATGTCAAATACATCGACGTCGAGTCTACTGATTGACAGACTTTCCAGTAGAATCAATGTACCATAAATCCAAATTTAAGTAGACTTCATATTTCTGTATATGTTGAATTATACAGTTGATAAAGTTTGGGTCTGTAATTTTCTCTCAGCACATGAGGTATATGAATGAGACACCTTTTGGGATTCAGAGCACGGTAGAGATATGCTTGCATGCACTATCAAAGCCATTAAGATTTACTGCTAAATTTCTCATCAACGTATTCTCTGAAGTTCCTCCTCGCAGGGTTTCTCTATCTCCAAGGGACTGCCGTTCTCAATGAAGATTTATAATTGCGGGATTCAACTTCTGACCATGACTGAGCGGAACACTTTCACCGTCGAAGTCTGTCTCACAGAGTTCATTTAGGTAGTGCTTGTGTCGACCTCATTTTGTATGTTTGCAGACTTGTTTGTCCGAACAGAGTTTTCGTCATGGTGCGAGCGAGACACTCCCAAGTCATAAGAGCTATTGGAAACAATGTCATGGCGAAATGTTTGGGATATGAAGACATTGTGGATCTGTGGTGACAGGGTTCGTTTAGCCAAACCCTTCTCGACACCAGTTTCCTTAAGCGCGACATACCGTGGGTCGAGTGTTAACCCCACGTAGCGTTTGAACCGATGCCCTGATATCGGTACTATCCTTTACCCTAGCGGAAGCATTACTCACTGACCGCAACAAATCGCGCTCTCACCGATTATGCTGATGGATTCACTCGTTGCTGGCCTGAATATATCTGACATGTTTTCATAGGTTGTCACATGCGTTTTGGCAGTCACATTCTTCACATACACTTATCACTGGCTGCTGACGAAGACTTGGTCTTTCAAGGTTTATGCCCAAGAAGAGAGCATATGACTTTTCATGGCACGATCAAGCTAATTATGGTAGACGTCACACAGGAAGTTCGAGTTTGAGCAATTTATCTGTCACTTGTTCATACGCGGATACTCCAGGTGGATAGACGAAGAGTTCAAATGGAAGCTATAGTTTCTCTCCTATCTTTCAGCCTCTAGTTTCGTCACCCTTGTTTCATTGTTCTACCTGCATTAATGTTCAGACTTGCAGTTGTTGCCATTCTTCATCTTCTATATGTTATCTGCAACTGAAAGGAGGGAGGTATCGAGTTTTCACCATACTGCGCGAAGTATCATGGGGGCTCCGAACAACTCTGCGCCCAGTGTCTCGTCCACAAGGTTCCCCTCTCACCAGCTGAGCAACGGGCTCTATGTATCTGGACATCCTGATCAATACAAAGATAAAATTCCAACTATGGGCGTATCTCAGATGCCTTACACTGGTGGGGATGTGAAGAAGTCTGGAGAGTTGGGTAAAATGTTTGATATTCCGGTTGAGATTTCCTCCTCATCGAAATTGAGGAAATCGGGATCTACCTCAGGGAACCCTTTAAAGATTGTTAGTTCAGGAGCTTCGACTTCGCATTCAGGCCCTCTTCCATCTCTTGATAGCACGCAATCCGCTGCGGTGCAAACCGGGCTCGTAAGTTCGAGCAATTCTTGGCGAAGTTCTAAATCTGGACCGAGTGTATCCAAATCAGGTCCCTTGATTGGAAGCGGACTGTCAGCTTTTATACAGAGTTCAAAGTCAGGGCCGTTGACGAGAGGTGTCGGTGGTGAGTCCGGGGGATCAAGTAGCTCAAAGAATCATATTCCTGGAACAGGTTATATCGGAAGTGCTCCAGCTCTCTCGCTATCAGGTTCAGTATCTTTGAACGGCGGAAAGATATCTGGTCCCCTACCTCCTCCTCTTCCAGCTACCGGGCTGATCACCTCTGGACCGATCTCGTCGAGTCCTCTCTCCGCAATAGGGGTACCCCGAAAAGCACAGTCTGGTCCGTTGGAATCAAGCGGGCCGCCTGGGAAGCCCTTAAGCGCGGTCGGAAGCACTAGTCAAGCTGTCAACAACTTGAGTTTCGACGAAGGATACTCGTTCAGGAAAAGCTTTCCCAGAGTAGTTATATGGACTGTCATACCTTTGTTCGTAATGGGCTTCATCGCTGGAGCATTTATTATTGCTGCCGTTCAGAATGCCGTACTTCTGATAGTTGTAGCTAGCTTATTCGTTGCTGTTGCTACCCTCCTGCTATGGAATACATGCTGGGGACGGAAGACCGTAACAGGGTTTCTCGAGGAGTATCCACACTCAGAATTGGTCTCTGCCAAAGATGGGCAGTACGTCAAAGTCACTGGGGTGAGTTTTTCTTTTCATTTCGGAATGTAATCCAAACATATGTGAAAGTATCCCGTTAGAACCTGGAAATGCATGAACTTGGTCAATTATGAATATGTTTACTAAAGGTTTAGATTTAGGGTTTAGGTAATGAACTTCTAGGTTTGGTCCTAGTAGTTCCTCCTTCCCCCCTTTTCTGTCCCATGACTCATTTTGTTTGACTTCCTTCTGTGATCTTCCATGTCCGTCCATTTGTGCTTTTACATGCAGTCTATTACATATTCAGAGTTGCACCACTATTGGCAGCATGTTCTGTTTGCTACATAAAGGTCCATGTGATTTCTGATAGTTTTTACATAGTGCTCTTCGTGTTATACACAATGTGTCGTGATTCCGTTTTTCACTCGCGTTTTGTTTTTGCATGTTTATCTTCGCTTAACAACCAGCTTGTGGTCGTGGTGCGATTCTGTTTTGTTTCTGTGTATCTCTTTTTCTAACTGACCTAAGCCTCGCGCAGTTGCATGTGTAAGGCTCTTGGGCAAGCTGTTGGCGCGAATGTGTAGTTCAATATGACGGGTTTGATGTGGACCACTGGTTGGTACCAAATTCAGATTAAGTGTAACTCAGTATAAAACTTACTGGTTTTTTCTTTCGGACCGTTTTCTTGGCTACGGAGATTGACTTGATTGTCGTATAGCGCTGATTAAACCTATTGCGTATCCGCATGCTTTTTCACGCAATGATACTTGTTAAAAGGAGCAAAGAGTCCTCCCTATTCTTAGCTCTAGATTTTTTTCTTAAATTCACATTTTTTCAGTCAACGAAATTAATCAGTCAGCCAAAGTACGGGGTCTGGGGTCTGTGGGCATTAGGGTATTGTGGGCAAACTGTAATATTGCCTCAAGTTTACACCGGTACTCATCAACTTGTGCGTCCATACAACTAGCTTACCTCAGCCACCCTTGCTTATGTGGAACTAAGTGATGTGATCTGCCGCTCTACCAGATCCTGCTCAAGTTTGGCGAGTACTCTACAAAGTGGATCACCGATATATTCGTGAAATTTATTTTATTGAGTCATGCTTTTTATTTGCTATCTTCACGCTGGCAGAGTGTTTTGCGTGCACAAGGAGTCTTACCACTACTTATGTTAAAAGTAAACCGCCTTAGAGTTAGATCTGACGATATCCTGTTGAGTTACTCGAAAGAACATTCAACTCTTTTCTTTAATACCCTGACGTTTTTACTACACTCGATCGTACCTACTTGCGACTACATCCATATCATGATACATGTGGTCTCTGCAACAACCTTTCAATAGTTTTATTGCTCGTTGTGGAGTGTGTCACCGCTAGTTCCTGTTGTGGACTGTTTCTGATCTTGTCGAAGTCATATTGTGCTTAGTTAAAATTTCCGTACAATTATCTTGTCATTGGTATATACATTGCTCTTCTATTCGTTTTTTGACAAGTAACGTCACGCAAATTCGTCCATACCGCACGGAGCTGCTAGACGGATTGTTTTGATACTTCTCTGAATTTTAATTTTTGCAAATCTCTCGTGCTTACAGTTTATTATCTTTTCTTTGCTTCATTGCAGAATGTAGCATGCCTTGCTTCCATGGCCTTGCCTTCATGTATGTCGTGTAACAATGGCAACGAATACCAGAAAATAGATAATACTGCCTTAGTTAGAAAATCTGAGAACACCCTGCCAGGCTTGGTGTGTCGGCTTGGCTTTCTCTTCTACAGCATAAATGCATGATCGCTATTTTCATGAACTTCTCTTGGTGAGAACACTTACCGTGCTTAAAGGTCAACACGGGTCTTGTCGTCGTCTGTTTGGCTGGGGCATGTCTGTTTGGTCCCTATACACATGTAAGGTCTGCTATGGGTTTACTCGCGGCCGTCTTCATCTTGTGAAGCTGGTTCCATGGTCCTCGCTCTGCAGCTTATTGTTTGAGCTCTTTTCTGTGCAGACAGTGTTGATTTAGCCTACAGTGTCTCATGTATCTCTGTGTGCAACAAGCGTCCTGCTTTGGGCATCCTCCTCCTTGGACGCAGCCACTCTATAAAGTGCCGGCTGTGTGCTTTAATCTTGGTGGATACTCGGATTGGACGGTTAAACAGTCTTTCCAGATCTTGCACTCGCCAACCAATCAACTTCGCGAATGGAATCATCTGAGCTTCATTCGTGTCGAAGTTAAAAAACATTTCACAGCTGTCAGGAAGCAGAGCTTACGTATAGTTTCACATTTCGCTCGTTGGAAGATTGAAGACGTTGTGAATGACTGGCCGTTGAAGTAGAATGCGAAGGAGATCTTGTATCACTTGCAAAAAGCCCTAGACTTTCACGGGACGCAAGCAGACCTTGATGAGTCCTTGTCGCTAAATGCCAAATAACCGTAGTCGAATAGGCTCCCACTAAACTCTTCACGGTTTCCCGGCAGATAGTAATGAGTAGCTTTCTTTGCCGGTATTACCTTAGCGACAACTATAGGGAGCTTATAAGTTGTATCAAAACTTCTTATAGGTGAAGGAGCTTTAAATGCCTTCTGCACTCGTTGGCCTTGTGGAGAAAGGCAAAGCTTACGGGATTTTGAGCTAAACTTTCGTGGGCTTGAGAACGAAAAGGGTGTGTGAGATCGTATTGGTGGACACTTGGAAACTTGAGAGAAACCTCATATGTGGCTGAAAGTCCCTCTATTAGTCTACGACACACGTAGGGGACTTTTGTGGTACCAGCTAACATCTCTCCTCCAGTTCCACAGCCAAAACTGCTGAGTCGTCATTCTTGGATTGCTATCTGCCCCTGTTTCGCATTTACTCCATCGGCATCCGATCTTTCCGTCACGCTGCATTTATCCAGGTTGCATGTCTATTCCCTTATGTGAAGCATGTATTTTCACTAACGTGCAAGCGCAGCTGGAACCTTAGTGTTTTGAAACTTTTTGTATATATTAACCTTTCTTTTAGAACCCCTGCGCTTGTATTGAGTACTTGTATTGGACTTTGCTACGTGTATGTATATGTATTTATATCTTCGGTTCCAGAACCAAATACCATCGGTACCCATGGTTCTGGCTATCTTTACCTCTCATGAATTTGACTTTTTCGACGCATGGCCCTGTTTTTCTCATGCATGTGTATCACTCAGGACGGCCTCAAACTATGCATAGCCAACTATTATAAAACAAAAGTAGATAACCTTACCTCGGGAAACGTACGCTTTCACTACCTGAAGTCCTCTCCAAATTTTCCCATACATTACTTCACATGCCCTCCGTTTCATCCGTAGTTGTAACACTATGAATAGCCTTGTTAGGGCTATCATCTCAAGATTCCACAAGTATAGAAAGGAGTGCTACAATATGCGCAACGTTTTCTTTGTTGTAGGTTATAGCCAAATAAGGATGATGTTTATTTGACGCTAGACAACGGTGGGCCTCTTGCAATCGGTGCGTCACCTATATTGTTCTAGCGGGGAGCTTAATTATTAGCTTGCTTTGTAAGTTTCAGGCCATCGTTTTTGCGCCTGCTCACTCATTACCGTTTTCTGGACTCCTCGCTCTCATCTTTCACGACTCTCTCCCAAGGCTCTCCATGCTTTCGATCCTTTTGATATCTAGATTACCTGGTGCTACACACTATCCACAGGACAGGGCGGTAGTTTTCAACCACCGCCCTGTCCATTACAGATACCTATAACCCCCGGTTTCACTGATGAAGCAGCCGTGATCTTGTGACGATGGAGTGTTGCCCGTCGGCTAGATATTGTTGGTGGTCCCTGGATCCATTTTCACATCAGATTCGAGGAACCATACCCCACTATTCTGTTAGTGCGTATGCACTCGTTTGTTCTCTAATGATGTTTCATTGTGCCTCCTCTACGAGCGTATGATGCCATGGGTTGTTTCTGCCTGCTTCCCCTTTTTGCAACTCACTGACTGCTTCTTTTCTGGAGGCTTCATCTATGCTTTCCATGGAATCCCTTGACTTTTTCCGATTCATACCTTTGCCATGTTTTGGGCCTCTTCCTTTTTGCTTAATAGTCCGAATGCATCGGGATATGCCTCAGATGGATCTTTTATGGACATACCTCCCGGGTCTGTGTTCTTCGGGTTCCTTTTATGTTAAGTCCTTGGAATTGATCAGATATTGTGTCAATTGGCTGCGCTGCCTTCATTCTCTAGTTCCTTGCGTTAAAATTATCGGTACATATCTTGCTGTGTGGTGGAGGCAGTTGTTAACCTTAGAACGCACTATGTTAACACAAATCATTGCTCTTGTCCCCTTGCATGTTAAGCCCCTACAGTTGATCATGTACTATGTAGTCTATTTTGTAACGATAGTTTACTTATTCTGAGTTCTAGTCAATTGTCGAACTTTCTCATCACGCAAATTCTTTCGTTTTAGAATTTAAGATTTTCACCTTTTAGTGCCTTCTATGTAGATCTCTTTCCAGATCGATCCTACCTTAAGATCTTAAGACATGTTGTAGATGGTGTTCAGTTGCGTTTCTAGTCAGCCAGCTATACGCTTGTACTCCACGGTTCGTCCCTTGTATTTTGCATGCAAATTTTGTTTATTGACCCCTTGTCGTCGATCACATCTACGCAGCAGATTGCATTTACTTCATTCTGGCTGTCGTTTTGTGGAAAGCAGGTAGTAACATGTGGCAGTGTTCCCCTGGAATCTTCATATCTGAAGGTGAACCGTTGCATCTACACTTCGACGGGGCTTTACGAGTATAGAAGCCTATTTTCGAAGCCCGCCAAAGAGACTCATCATGTTTTTACTTGGGGCGTGAGGCACATGGAGGTTTCTGTCTTCACACCTCCAGCTATTTGCGAGTTATAAACTGTGATCAGTCCGATACCTGAAAATGTCATTGTATTAGTCTATAAATGGCGCTAAATCGGTTCTGATGGCTTCTTGATTGTCCCACACGGCAGCCACAGACGAGGAATTTTCCATTCTCGGTTGAGCGGTTCCCTGCGATACTCGTAACAATGCCTTGTGCCGTCGCATCGAACCAAAATATCGTTCTTGCTGGTATCGGCGTGGTGTGATCGTCTTGCACCATGCTTTCTGTCGATTGTTTCTTTAGAGATACTGTACATTTTGTCTCGTGCTTTCCGTTCGTAACTGCATTTTTGGTTTGTTGGTTTCTGCTGTTTGACTTGACCGTACATGCGGTGTGTTCAGCTTGTTATGTCCACAGTCTTCCTTTTGCCTCAACCCGTACGAAGTTTACTTGCACTCTACCCTATTAACGGATCGTAAACTATGCATGTAATGTTCATGGATGTGAAAATCTACGTCTTAGGCTGCTTGTCATTTGTTCGCAGACAATGTTGAGCAATTATGATCACAGAGTTTTTCCACACTGCCGATTCTCGTTTAATAGATTTTGTAACTTCCACTCGTCCTACTAGGGGCGCCCCGTCCTTTCAGTGGTCAATATTGCGGAAAGGATCCAAGAGAACACGAGGGGCGTAAAACGTAAGAAGCATATAGAGCTAAAGATCTTCTCTATGGTCCCTGGTTCCTCCTATCACAATGGAAACGAGGAACTACACAGCGCAATTGTTGTCATAGTAACTCTGATGCTCTATTCTTAAGTCCTGGTCCTCTGCGTCTATGACAAGAATTCGATCCTTTGATCACTATGCTACCCCTTGCGTATGTATCCATTGTTTTGCTGTACACGGTTTTAGAATTCGTATGGTTGTACTTCACGGGTATATGCTATCCGGTCATGTACATGCTGAACCCTTGAAGATGTATTTCATAAAAATTTCTAGTAGAAGTCACTACATGTGTGTGCCTGGCGCATTCTCCGCTTTGCTCATAGTAGTTTTCATTCTCTTTGTTAAATTGCATCCTACATACCCGCGTCCAGATACTCTTGGAATCTTTGCAGAACTTGTAGTCATTACCATTCGCTGCACTTGTGTTTTAATTGTACCTTAGGTTGTTTTTCTTTCGTCTCCAGCATTTCTTCCTCGCCTACTCGCCTCGTTATCTACACCTGTTTCTCTCATAGATTTCGTTGTTGATGATTTTTGACAAAACCACTATCCATCGCTCTTTCTGCCGATATTAAGCGCCTACGTAAGTCATGGCTTGAACTGTGGCAATGAGTGATTTACTTGTAACACACTAATTCGCACAGTTCAGGCCATGAATTAAACCCTAAACTAAACCCAACCACTGCGTCCATATTACTAGGCTTGCAGTCTCTGCTGGCTCTGCGTTTGTTCTATCCTCATGATATGTCTAGCTGCTTTACTTTCTTTTATGGAGTTGTACTGGTAGAGCCTGTTTTGAGAGTGTTTCCAACTTTTTTTATAGGAAGACTTTAACGTCTGTTTTGGAGATAATGAGATCGTAAGAGCTATTTTGGGCTGAACACTCCATAATGCAAAACAGTTGAAATATCGTTAGCTTTTCGCTGCATGAAGATTGTCTTAAATATCGGCTGTAGTGTTTCGTCCTCCACTTTAATTGGTCGCGGATAATTCAGTCTTCGCTTTGACCACGTTATTTTTTGTGCTCATTCAGAGTTGGTTCTTTCAGTTTTGTTACCCTACTACTTACTTGTTTGTCAGAAAATGTCGTTCCCTCTTTTTTTTTCTTTCGTCATGAAGGATTTCTTATCTTATTTCTAGACTCTACTCGTTGGCTGTGATAGTTCCGAGTTAAAAAAACCACTAGATCAATAGGACGAACCAGGTCACGCTTGAATGCTTCAACTTCTCGTGAGTAAAATACTGTTGCCGCTAGAGTTGTTCACGTAGTATCCGTGAACTACATCATGTAGTGTTGACTTCTTTCAGTTCAGTTTTGTATCATTTGTATTTTCTCTTTCTACTGAGTGTTCCTATAATTCGCTGTTAACTATGCGACGAGTTTACTCCGTCCTAAAGTCTTGCTCTCGTAAATATCTGCAATCATTCTTGAAGCATGCACTATAGTGTGGCTCAAATTATTACAGCATTTACTTCGAAATCATCACGTTGTTACAGCTACTACCATAAGTGCTTGCTTACACTACTTGCTTGACAATCCTTAAATAAATTTAGTCAAGTTCTCTATAAATTAGATAGAGGTATACCTATGGGTTCTAGCTGGGTGTGTTTTAAGCCAACTCTTAGTCATTCACTCTGAGCTTGAATTGTTACAGCGTCTGACTCTCCAGAACTATCAATATGAGTTTTTTACGTCTGCACTGTCCAATGTGCTACTAGTTAGGCGTTCTGTTGAAGATCCCCAGGTTTCCACCTGTCCTTATTTTGCTTCGTTCATAAACCTTTCTCGGAACGTTGTTGGCGGTGGTATATATCTCCTGCGTAGCTGCGAACTCAATATATTCCTCGATCCTTCTATTACAGAAACAAAGAATGGATATGAAGTTTCGAGTTTGACAAAAGATGTTTGCATTTTAAAAAAATAAAATAAGATCAAATGCTTCACATCATTTGCAGTCTGGTCCAAAGTGTTTTTGTTAGTTAATAGCGACAAGTTATCTACTATTAGATCAGACTAGCACTTGAGGGAGAAGCTATTTTATTCTACGTGAGAGGGGAATTCACCAAACCTTCTTATCTGGAGAATACGTTCATTTTTCAAACACAAAAGAGCATCTTATTCGCCCATGCAGTTTCATTACTGTAGAGAGGCATTTACGATACTGTTCAGAGATGTGCTTGAATTATCCACCATGGTTTATAATCCCGCTTCTGTTCTCTTATTCATTTTCAATCCTTCTACTGCGTCTGTCACATGACAAATTTCTGTGTGATTCACCTGCTTGATCAATACCTGATTTCATCTTCTGCGTGAAATCATACATGCGAATACTCCTCTCCCTCGAAGTTTCAAGACATTAACATCCTTTCGCACTGTCATTCACGTGCATTCTCGTTGCTCTTTCTCGTTTTTCTTTGGGTTTGCCTTCTGTGTCCATTCCAGCCTTCCAATAAAATAGTCAGCCTTTCTAATTTCCTCGTTTGTTTTAACGGAGAACAATCTCCATTAAGTGGACCGAATCCAAACTCCAAGCGACGAATTCCGATTGAAACTTGAGGTGTACACTCTTTGCTCATGAGGAAGAGGGCCTCAAGGGTGCTGACGAGGTCTTGGAAATAGCGGGGCCAAATTGATGCGCGCATACACTGGTTGACTACAGTCTGAGGATTCCTAGTTAGCATCTGTAGGGTCTATGCTAGCTCTTCCCTGTCCCTAGGTATCGTTTATTATTTTACTCTTCAGATTTTTTCCCTACGTTCTACGTTGTGTCATAAACGCAAACCATCTTGCAAGATGGAGGTTTTCACTGTTTCTTTGCACGATTTATCTCACCTCTCAATCGACTTGGGCTCTGTTGTATTATCTCGCTTTCAGCTTCTTTCACGCATGGTTTCGGTTCTCTGTTGCTCGTGGACTTAGACTTGATCCTCGCTTACAGCTACGTGAATTCACACCTGTTTTATTCATTTTGTATATATCTCTCATTGATGTCGAGTTTACGTCTTCAATGTATTGCAAATTCTTTGATGTCAGTCACAGCCTCCAAGGCCAGTACTCAGTTTTGTACTTGGTCTTGCTCTGTGTATTTGCATCTCAGTTTATGGTTGTATAAAAATGTATTTGTCTCTACTTCTCAATATCTTCATATATCAATATAATTTTCTTGCGCCTTTTGGAATTCCGAATGCTAACCTTTGAATAGTACTTTCACAGATTTGACCTTTCCACTGCACCTGACTGTGCCTTTTTAGAGTAATCTTCGTATCCTAAACGAAGTGTAACGTCAACTAGATAATCTGGAGCTCTCTTGAGTTCCATAGAGAAGGCGACGGACCTTTCTTTATAACATTACGTTCTTTTGCTTATAGTCTGTTGTAAGTAGTCATTAGTAGGGTTATCATTGCGCAAAATATCTGTAGGATCTCGACACATTTTCAAATATTTTTGAAGCATCTTTCTGTTGTGTTCTTAATGTTCTTTTCATCTACTCTGGCGTGACTTCCTAAATCAGCTGTCATCTTGAAGCATTTGGTGATGCTCCCTCTGTGAGTACTGCACTCTTTTCGGCAATGTTTTGCTTGGTGACTGCCAATGAAAAGAAAACTGGGTCCACTTCTCGCTTTAGTTAGTGACGTCGATAAAAAAATTTGCATCGGATGGATGCCTCGGCATTGAGTAGGCCTTTGGTAAGGATGGATGCTTTTAAAGGTTTTGAAATGTACCCAGAAATATGTATGTATGAAATTCTGGACATCCCAGACGTGAGGATTCACTCTTGACAGTTAAGACTATATTGCTGAGGTTGATGGGCTGAAGCCAGTAATGGTTTATAAATGTTCCTGAACTACGCCTTATCAGAGTATACCATACTGCATATAGGTTACAGCGAAATTTCTTGACCGTGTTTTTGATTTTGAGTAAATTTCCCTAACAGATGTGCAGATGCTGTCGATTACTCCTACTTGCACACATCCTATTTATTGAGTATTACGTCTCGCCTGCTCATGCAATCACTTCTCTTGGTTTCTAATGCTTTCTCTCCTGTCCTACATGTGGTTCAAGTTTTATTGCTTCGTCGAATTGTTGAGGGATCCAGTTTAGTGGATCTCTCTACTTTGCCAGACTCTTTTCTCGCATGGTTTAATATAATACGTGGTTTTTGATTTCAGAGACATGTGGTCGACTTCTATATATCCGATTTACAGTCCGGATTAAGAGCCCTCGTGAAAGCCGGATTTGGAGCACGACTTACACCTCATGTCATGGAGAGTTCAGTTCTGGACGTAAATACGAAGAGTAAAGATCTACCCACAGAATTTCTGCACTGGCTGTCGGACCGAAACCTCTGCACAGGCGAACGACCAATGCGACTCAAAGAAGGGTATGTTTTTTCAACCTGTGTGCTCCATTCCGAATGCGTTCACCATATTGTGTAGATTGCATTGCTTGTTTGCTGACTTATGTTTAAGAACTAGTCAGCAAAGGCTCGGGTGCAGTTGACCAGCTTATAGATTCTGTGGAATGGTAAGAGCGGGAAGGAGAAGAAGTAAGATGTGTTGAATAGGAAGATGGAAGGGGGAAGAGTAATTTAGATTTAAGAGTGTCTTACGGGTAGTAGGCATCCTCTGCATAAATGAGGTTCGTTCGGAGCTTCCAGGATTTAACCAAGAAACCCTTAAGTAGCTCACCCACCGTTGTTCTTCTCGTTAAGGACTTGGACTTTTCATCGCTGTTGCTACAAGGTATGGTTCGAGACCGCTGGTTCAGGGTTCTATGAGGATTTTGAATAGTTGTTCTGATCGCTGAACCCTGAATTATTTGTATATCCTAGATCTGTGAATTCTCAGCTGGGAATACTCTTCACAAAGATTCTTATCTGCCGAAGCTTCTTTGTTAAATTTACAAGAGTCGTTATTCAGAATGTTGGTATCTGTATTTTAGTACTGTGGTCTGGGGGCCACCAGGTAGCCAATGGTTTATCAACGCTCAGCAGGTTTTTCATGCCCAGGCATATCTGAATTGCCGATCCCAACATATGAGGACCTTCATGAACTTGACGCAGGACGAAGTGCCAGAACTAATCGTTGTCTCCACCAAGTTAGAGAGTGCTTCTAAGGTCATTGAAAGCTCTTTGCCCTAGGTCATCAGTATAAGTCCTACCACTGAGCTTGCTAAGTTCCATTCTGTACATCTTTTTCATCATTGTAGCAAGCCGTTCTCCATCTCCGTTGAATCGAGGTTCAGCAAAAAATCTCTTAGTATCCTCAACCAGCGAGCTCTGCCATTTTCAGCTGTTAAAGCCACTCATCAAGATCGCCTACCTTTTGTCTTAAAGCGAAAGCGCTCTATCCTCATATCGGAAACGGTCGTCCACCACGGCCGTAGTAAACAAACCTCATTAGAAGTTATCGTGAGCCGTATGCACATTTCAGCCAGGGTTTCAGAATGCCCCTCATCACAACGATGTTTCTTGTCTCCGGATGTTTTCATTACTTGGTTGGATTATCTTTTACATAATCAATGCCCAAGTTTTGAAGGAACCCTCTGAGATCGAACTATTGGTATATTCATGGGAGTTAATCCTGCTACCTTCTTGGCTTACTCTATCCTGTTAATACATACTTCATGCAGCGGTTGCTCTTCTTTCCGGAACAGGTCTATCAAGTAGGTAATACTCCTTGATAGACCTCTATTAGAAAGAAGAGCAACGCAAGAAGGCTAGACACAGGAAATGAGTTCTGAGGAAGGCGTCATCATTAGAGTTGTCGTAACAGGTACCGGATTGGGTTTAAATCCCCAATCCGAGCTGACAAGGGATGTCAGCTCGGATTCCAAAGGGACACAACCCCTACGGTGGGTCACACCCACTGAACATCTCAGTCCTTACTATAAGGACTCTAACTGCACTAGTGCGCATAGACATGAAGGAGTAGGGAGTATAACTGTATTCTAACACTCCCACTTACTACCTACACCCTTCTCTCTTCCTCATATCCAACTAACAAACCCAAATTCAGACTATGACACCAATGCCTCTCTCTAGCTAATGGTGTCGTCATTATATCTGCAACCATATCTTCGGTTGGAAGATAAACCAACTTCACTAAGATATTTGCGACTAGGTCCTTGACAAAATGATATCTAATATCAATGTGTTTTGATCTTTCATGATTCTTCCGGTTTTCTACTTGTGCAATAGCACTTTGATTATCGCAGAATATTGTTGTCGACTCCAGCTCAAAGCCCAGATCATTCAATAATCCTCTTAACCACATAGCTTCAGCTCCAGCCTTGGACAATGCCATATACTCTGCTTCTGTAGAAGAAAGTGCTACTGACTTTTGTTTCACTAATGACCAACTAATGGTTCCACCATCGAGTTGGAAGCAATATTCAGAAGTAGATCGTCTCGTGTCAAGGCAACCTCCCCAGTCCGCATCAGAATATCCAGTCAAACCGGATGGTTTATCAACCCTTGTAAAATCAAGGCCAAAATCGAGAGTCCCTTTCAGATATCTGAAAATCCACTTGACTGCCTTCCAGTGTATCAATCCAGGATTTGACGTGAACTGAGCCACTGAACTAACAGCATAAGATATATCGGGTCTAGTACAGACCATCGCCGACATCAAGCTCCCAACAGCAGCTTGATATGGGATATCTTTTATCTCTTCACTTTCTCCCACTGAAATGGGAGAGTCAAGCACACTTAACTTCAAACCGGGTTCCATAGGTGTGTCAATAGGCTTACAGTCAGCCATGTTGAACCTCACAAGTTTTTTAAACAAATATCGTGGTTGGATAATTCGAATCCACGCTTCTTCAGGATTTCTGTCCACTTGCATACCAAGACAATGATGGATCTCTTCTAAGTCCACCATATCGAACTCAGTTTTAAGTTTCTCCTTGACATTTGTAAGAAGATGCAAGGAATCGCTCGCCAATATACAGTCGTCTACATATAGTGCTAAATACACAAATGCGTTCTCCTGAGAGTATATGTAAACATTCTGATCTGCATAAGCTCTGGTAAAAGCAAATTGCAGTAAGAACGAGTCAATCCTTTGATACCACTGTCGTGAGGATTGCTTCAGTCCATAAATGGACCTATTCAGTTTGCATACCATTTTTTTCTCATAAGAGATATTCAACCCTTCAGGATGAGCCATGTACACTTCTTCATCTAATAGTCCGTTCAAAAATGCAGTTTTCACGTCCATTTGGTGTAGCTCTAAATTGTTTCGAGCTGCTAGAGCCATTAACACCCAAATGGATGTCAACTTCACCACAGGAGAAAATGTTTCTGAAAAGTCAACACCGTAAACTTGAGAATATCCTTCAGCTACTAATCTGGCCTTGTATCGATCAACAGAACCGTCAGGCTTGTACTTGATTTTATAAATCCATTTACAGTCAACGACGTTCTTGCCCATAGGTAACTCTGTCAATGTTCAGGTATGATTTTTCTCTAAAGAGGAAAATACATTTTTCATAGCTTCTTTCCATTTGATAGAATCACCACTCTGTAATGCGTCTTGATAAGTAGTAGGTTCTTTGTGAGTCTCACCCTATGAAAATAAAGCTCTATGCTTCTTCCTCTTTTTCAACAGTTGATTTTATTTTTCGACACGTTTCCTTACTCTTTCCCCCCTTCGAAAGATAGGATCGATGATGAGGGAAGAGGGTGAGCTTGCTCAAAGCTGTATGGTCAGGAGGTTGAACAGCCGGGGCCTCAGATGTAGAGTCTTGAAGTCTGAGTTCACCCAGTAGCTGCTTGAGGTTGCGAACCGCATCAACAAGAGGAGCAGAAAAGAGAGGATTCTCCCGTAGCTTCCATGTGCGCCTCTGGTAAGTCTGGCCAAAACGGGCCGGATAAGTGGCAGGTACTTCAGCTGTGGGAGGATGACTCACGGAGGGAGTGGAAGGTGCTTGTGGAACTCCCAGTACAGGGGAGGGAGTGGAAGGTGCTTGTGGAACTCCCACTACAGGGGATGGTGTAACCGGACTGAAGGCTCCCACTGCGGGTGGCCGTCCTGGTGGAAATATGTGCGGAAGGGGAAACCTGCAAACTGGATCAGTAGATGAAGCTAATGGTAAAGGGCGAAAGGGAGTAAAACCTTCTTGCTCAGCGGGCGGAACAATCGATGCCTGCTGATGGGGAAGGATAGATTCCCGAACCGCAAGAGGCATAAATCTGACAGATCTGCTCTCAAGAATCTTATGAGAGTCTTTTCGCTGTAACCGATATCCTTTGGCTGTAGGAGAATAACCAAGGAAAACACATTCCACACTCTTGGGGTCAATCTTACCCCGATGGCCATTTTCAGTATGGGCAAAGGCAGTACATCCAAAAACTTGTAAGTGGCTTAGATCAGGCTTCTGTCCATGCCAAAGTTCGTAAGGGGTTTTGTCATTGGGTAGAGCCTTAGATGGAGATCTGTTCTGCAAGTAAACAGCGGTATGGCTTCGCCCCAATAACCATGAGAAAGACCAGAATGTGTCAACATAGCTACAACTGAATCGATCAAAGTGCGATTTTTCCGTTCAGCTACTCCGTTTTGTTCGAGAGTATCAGGAATAGAAAACTGACGTTGAATACCATGAAGTTTACAAAATTCAGTAAAAGCTCGAGATTTGTATTCAAGAGCATTATCTGATCGCAAAACTTTTATGCGCTTGTTCAGGTAATTTTCAGTCATCAATTTAAATTCCTGAAACTTGGCGAAGGCTTCAAAAGTCTTTTGTATCAAATACACATGCGTATATCGTGAAAGGTCATGAATGAATGTGATGAAATATTTACATCCAGAGAATGCTTGAGTTCTCATAGGGCCGCATGTGCACTAGACCAAGAAGGTCTATAGCACGAGTGCCTCCTTTGCTTGGGAATTTAGCTCTGGTAGACTTCCTTGAAGTGCAAAAAGGTAGGGTTTGAAAAGAACAGTTATCCAACCCTTGCCCCATATGATGTTGTTTCAATTGCTGAATCCTTGGAAGACTCATATGGCCGAGCTTTAGATGCCATTGATAAGTGTTAAGCTCTTCAGTGTTGGAAGCCGAACAAGTAACATTGGCAGAATAAATAACATTGGCAGAATCGTCGCCTGTATTTGAAGAAGTTGTGCCCAGCTTGAAAAGTTTATTGGAAATGAAGAAGTTGTGCCCAGCTTGAAAATTTTATTGGAAATGATGCACTGAGGAATGATATGACCCATCTTGTCTTTCAAGATGCATTGATCAGTTTGAACCAGTAGACTCCCCCTTGGTGAACAAGCTGATTTATAGAAAATAAATTTTTTGATAGTTTCCTGTCGATGATTCAAAGAAATGAGAACATTCTATTTTCCTTGAATGGGTTGGCGACTATCATCGACCGAGACT